CTGTCGAAAATGTGACAGCTGTCAAACTCCATATAAAAAAACGGTGTAAAAAAAGGAAGAAGAAGAAATTTTCGTCTCCTAGATTGTTTGGGTACTCTGTTGACGAAAATTTTAGCTATCGAATTGAATGGCGTTGCCGGATCAAAAAAAATAAACAGCTGATTTTGGGGTGTTGAAATAATTCATTTGATTTATTTTGATAGCTAAAACATGGAACGAAAATTTGAAAGAAAAAAATTGTCGGACTGAAAAATTTTCGGCTCGCGAGGATAAATTGAAATTAATTAGTGCGGTCAAGGCGAAGCCCATAATATGGGATTTGACCCACAAGGGGCATTTTAATGCCATAAAATTGCATTGAAATGATTTGTGATTGATTTTGACCCAGTTTTCTATTTCTTAATCAGCTCCTTAGCGGCGAAATACATAAACAAAACACCAACATCCAATTGATTCGAAGTCATTTTTGCTTTGAACAGCTGTTCAGTATTACCCTTTTTCTTAATTTTTTTTGTCACACTAGCTCGGTAGCTGAATAAAGTGCGATTTCGCTAGCGGATTTTCGACAGCGGATTTTCGTCAACTCAGTACTAGGCTTTAAGCTTTAACGGTATGCAAGCTTAGCAATAAATTTTTGTTCCATACTTTTTCGCGTGGGCAAAAAAACAACATTCTTATCCCCATACTACCGATTCAGAAGGGAAGGAGACTAAAAAGGGTATACCACTTCAAAAATTTTCCGATTTGGCTCCTTTTTAATTAGCTGTTGTACCATAGATTACAGAAAAAAACATTTCAACAATTTTCATAATTTCCTAATGAAGTTGGTCTCGTTTTATTCAGAATTAACGAGACAATATTGATATGTGTCAAAAATGATACCATTTCTTGGAAGTTGTACCGAAATAATGGCGTCAAAGTCCGAAAAACACTCCAAAAATTCAAAAATGTCAGTTTCTTGCGTTAAAATTGTATACTTTTTGTTGAAATAAATTAAAGATCTTTTTTTTTCAAAAGCTCCAACATTTAACTATTGAGAAACGAAAAAAAATTTAAAATCGGTTTAAAATTACGCGTTTAGGAATTTTTAAGAGCAAAAAAGTCCCGAAAAACCGTTTTTTCCAAATAAATCAAGATTTTGAGGGTGTTTGAAAAATTTCAAACATGGTTTTATACTATACTCGACCTAATGTAAAATCTACGTTTGGGCACGATATATTTGGTGCTCCTTTGACAAAAACCTTGGGTGCACTGATAACAAATATTCTTTTTCACTGTCGAACGCGACATTCGTAAATACAAATAAGCTCATAAGAAATTCGCCCTTATTAGTAATCGCATAGTTTGTTTTACATATTTTTCATATTCTTTGAATATAAATGAGGATTTAGAAAGGCGAATATCAATCCGATTACATATGTGTATCAATTATTGCAAATCTAGTCATTAGTACTTTAGTTAGCGGTTACCATTTTTACGCGATTTTTTACGCGAAAAAATGTTTTTTGGCCAGAAAAAGTGGTCAAATTTCTTATAGTGCATTGTAGGAGTCTCCATGCCAAATACTATAGTTCTATCGCTTATGGTCTCTGAGATCCACGCGTTCGTACGGAAAGACGGACATTAAATCGGTTATTGATGCTGATTTCTTCTCTGGATGTAACTCTCTCTCATTCTTCTCTGTATGAATGTATGTAACAGTTCACACGAAAAAGTAGGAAAGCAGACAAAATCTATAACTTGTTTAAAAAGGATCCGATTTTTCTGAAAAATCTAATTTTAAAATTTTTCTAATTTTAATGTGTAGATTAGCTATTGAAAAAGTTGTTCATCAAAATATTCCAAAAAAACTTTCATGAACTGGCACTGCAACAAGTAAGTAAGACATTGGTATATAAACGTCCATATCTCCTCCATAGTGTGAATAGTTTGGCATCAAAACTTTTTCAAAAAACCTTCGTGTACAGGTGCTTTAAAAACATTTAATTTGTGGGGGCGGTGCAAAAATTTTTAAAATAAAATGACATGCGCTCCTATCATAGAATTCTTCGTGCAAATATTCTTCGTTTCTATATCTGAGATCCACGCGTTCATATGGACAGACGGACACGGCTATATCAACTAGGCTGTTGGTGCTGATCTAGAATATGTATATACTTTATGGGTTCGGAGCTGATTCCTTCTCTATGTTACAAACATTTACAATATGTGTGAAAAAATTGTGTAAAGTTGGAAGTTGTTAACTTTAGAACTGAAAAACTATTTTTCATAGAAACAGAGAGACATATGGTACAGACAGGAAGACAAGGGATCACTGCCACAATTGCAAACAACTTTTCGTTTTTTATTATTATAATAGGGTATTATAATTTTGGTCAAAAGTGTGCAACGCAGTGACGGAGACATCTCCGACCCTATAAAGTATATATATTCTTGATCAGGATCACCTCCTGAGTTGATATGAGCATGTCCGTCTGTCCGTCTGTCTGTCTGTTTCTACGCGAACTAGTCTCTCAGTTTTAAAGCTATCGTTTTAAAACTTTGCACACACCCTTCTTTCCTTTGCACGCAGTATATAAGTCGGAACGGCCGGGATCGGCCGACTATATCCTATAGCTGCCATATAACTGATTCATCGGAAATGGTATAACTTTGGTGAAAGCTATCTTTGGCAAAACATTACGACGTGCCAAATTTCATAAGGATCAGCCGACTATATCCTATAGCCATATAACTGATTCATCGGAAATGGTATAACTTTACATGAAAGCTATCTTTGGCAAAACATTACGACGTGCCAAATTTCATAAGGATCAGCCGACTATATCCTATAGCTGCCATATAACTGAACGATCGAAAATGACCCAACTTTCGTGTTTTTTAAAATAGAAAGCTGGAATTTAATACATATTCTATTTTTGGTCAGTTGATCCAACCCACCAAGTTTCATAAGGATCAGCCGACTATATCCTAAAGCTGCCATATAACTGAAGGATCGGAATTGACCCAACTTTTGTGTTTTTGAAGATAGAAAGCTGGAACTTGGTACAGATTCTAGTTTTGCTCAGTTCATTTAACCTACCAAATTTCATTAGGATCGGCCAACTATATCCGATGTTTGCGATATATATCTGGTTTTAACTGCAAGGGTATATCAACTTCGGCTTCGACCGAAGTTAGCTTTCCTTTCTTGTTTTGAAGTGCTTTTACTTATTAAATATTTTGAAATGGAATCGATAAGTTTAAAAAAAAGTTATTAATATTCTTCTAGAAGGTTTTTATAGTGTGTTAAATTTCATTAGACGTTCAAAATTGCCCATACTAACATTTTGTAATTTTATAAAAGCCTTTTTTGCTGGATTTTAATAACATTGCAGACGGTATTATAATTTTGGTCAAAAGTGTGCAACGCAGTGAAGGAGACATCTCCTATAAGATAAGAATAAGAATCATCTCCTGAGTTGATATAAGCATGTCCTTTTGTCCGTCTGTCGGTTTCTACGCGAACTAGTCTCTGAGTTTTAGTTTCAGAGCTATCGACTTGAAACTTTGCACACACCCTTCATTCCTTTGCACGCAGTATATACATAAGTCGGAACCGAATGTATTGCAATATTGTGTGCAACAAAAAAATGTATATACATTTTATATTTAAATATATTTAATAAAATAAATTATAATACAAAAAACGGCGTTGAAAAACGTCTTTTGGTTCACTTGCAATATTTAATGCCAGAAAGAGTTGTCATTTACTAGGGTAGCACTTTTTTTTTTTATAAATATTTAAAACTTTTTATACCCTTGCAGAGGGTATTATAATTTTGTCCAAAAGTGTGCAACGCAGTGAAGGAGACATCTCCGACCCTATAAAGTATATATATTCTTGATCAGGATCACCTCCTGAGTTGATATGAGCATGTCCGTCTGTCCGTCTGTCCGTCTGTCCGTCTGACCGTCTGTCCGTCTGTCCGTCTGTCTGTTTCTACGCAAACTAGTCTCTCAGTTTTAAAGCTATCGTCTTGAAACTTTGCACACACCCTTCTTTCCTTTGCACGCAGTATATAAGTCGGAACGGCCGGGATCGGCCGACTATATCCTATAGCTGCCATATAACTGATTGATCGGAAATGGTATAACTTTGGTGTTTTTAGAGTTAGAGATTTCAAATTTGACATGAGAGCTATTTTTGGCAACACATTACGACATGCCAAATTTCATAAGGATCGGCCGACTATATCTTATAGCTGCCATATAACATATAACTGAACGATCAGAAATGACCCAACTTTCGTGTTTTTGAAGATAGAAAGCTGGAACTTGGTACAGATTATATTTTTGGCCAGTTAATCCGACCTACGAAATTTCATTAGGATCGGCCGACTATATGCTATAGCTGCCATGTAACTGAACGATCGGAAATGGTATTTGGTAGAAATATCAACTTTCGTATTTTTGAAGATAAAAGCTTGGAACTTTTTTTTAGATTTTTTATTGTAATTAATTGGTTTTATTATGATGTAATCATAAGGATCGGCCAACTCTATCCGATGTTGGCGATATATATCCGGTTTTAACTGCAAGGGTATATCAACTTCAGCTCCGCCCGAAGTTAGCTTTGCTTTCTTGTTAAATTTTCAACAGAATTGTGCAAATTAAGGGGGGGAAGGGCCACTGTAATATTCGTTTGAAAGGGTATAAAAATACATCTGGCGGAAAAATGCCTTCAGCATTCGATTTAAAATAAGAACGGTAATCTTAATTTTGTACATATGGGTCGAATACAACTGCAGTTGAAATGTGGCAAGTCCGGACATAGAGCCACGTTTCGGTTTCTAATAGCGATTGATATGAAAAAGATAACATCCTTAAATGTTAATAAGTTGGAACGGCAAGTTCTGAAAAAGAATATAAACAATTTGTTGCAGAGTTGCTTCTAAACTTTAGAGGTTTATCCATATGGATTTGTTTGATGTTTGATAAATATGTTTGATTTCAAAGTGATGTAATTTATTAAATGTCGTACATATGTGAATATAAGAAAATAAAAATAAACCTTACTCAAAATAGTAATTTTGTTATGTTCTTAATGATTATAACTTGTAGCCCGTGTTTCAAATTGGGCGCAAATAGAAATTCGTTAAATAGAAATAATATTATCAATAATATCGATTTAATATTCAAAGAAGATGAATGGGTTCCATGTGAAGAAGGCTTTCGACCTATAACATATTTAACATAGAAAGTTGGTTTACTTTCTTTTGCTTAATTTGTAACTATTCTAATGAGTACTTAACTATAAGGGAGAGAAGATAAATGAAAATTCTGTAATAACCTGTTAATCCCTTCAATTACTTCTTGTTCTTTTTGGTATGGCACAGATTTGGCATTGGCAAGTAAATCTACAATTGTTAATTTTTTTCTCAAAATATGGCAAGAAAGCCGCAATCAAATTGACTCCGTCTGTTTGCTTTAAGCAGCTGCACCATTCCACAATAAGCATGTCTTGGCTATTAAAAGTATTTTATGCTTTTCTGCACTACTCCAACTATTTAGTAGACACATCGCATTGCTGCATTTGCACAAGCAACAGAAGAATGCGATTCATAAGATTATCTGCCTCGGAATCTTCCATGCTGTTAAGTTTTGCCGAAATAAATCCACAAAATTTGGAATTGAGGACCTCACGTACAGTTTGCGGCGGCGGAAGATCCAACCCCCCAGGGGCTGAAACAGCGCTCTGCTGCTGCCGTAGGTGGCGGTGTTGTTGCAGCATCTGTTCTTCATAATCGTCGCCATCGATGATTCCATTGTCGTCGCAATCACCGTCCTCCTGATCACCGTTGCGGCAGCGCTTTCGGGACGAAACCAAATCACCGGCATTAGTGCTTACTGGTGAGTTAGAGTCAAGAATAAGTGGATAAGGGAAGTCAGCATCTATGGCTTCCAGTTCCTCCACCCCATCTGATGCGTTTTCTCCCTCTTCATCCCCGCTCCTTAGAGAACTTGCGTCAAAATCATCATAGTTTTGCTGTAAATGGTGGTGCTCATTTCGCGTGGAGCTCACTCGACTGTCGTTATTGACTTGGTGCTGATGAGCCGGCACTGGATTATTTGAAGGGGCTCCGTTTCCACAGCCAATGCTACTTCCACTGCTACTGCTACCGGCTAAGGCACCCGCCGAGAGGTCCAGCTCTGGCTTTACGTAGTAATCGCTGTAGTAGTCCTCGCCACTTACGTTAAGGGTAGAACATTTTGAAAGATTCAGCACTGCGGCTGATTCCGTATATGAAGATGAAAGCTTTAAAACCATACTTTTTCCAGATTCTCCAAGAATACTATGGTTGTTGTTATTATTATTGTTGTTAAAATGCCCAAAAGAGCTTGAACTGAGATCAGTTGCATGCGAAGCGCCCCTGAAATTTACAAAAAAGTTAAATTAAATTAGTTGGTTATATTATATTACAAGTTACATAAGTATTTACATGCCACCCGTTATAAATATCCCTGCATTGCATGAGATACCAACTTAGACGAATTTAAGGAAGATGCTCTAGAGTCTAGACTAATTGCATAGGGTACATTTATGTATGTATATATGTATATTCCCGAAAAATTAAAAATTTTCTGTTTGCGTATGATCTGAATGAATTATGTACCAAATGAATGGTATTGTTTTAGTATGATCATGTATGGGGGCTTAGAGGTACATTGGACCAGGCTACAATAATTTTCTAAATTCATATTGTATTCTTTAATACGCGTTGATTGACACCTTATCCATCCCGGTCCGATAGGTAATTTAAAAATACGATTTTACAGAACTTAATATAAAGAACGGACGGATTGATTGACTATATTATACTAGGTATGAATCTCTTCCCTCTTCTTGGATTTTCAGTAAAAAAAGATTTTTGGGGAAAAACAACTAAGGCAATTAAGTAGGAAAGTATAGCGCCAGTACAAACTATTTATTTTTAGTTAATTTCTATACGGAAAATAACTTTAAACAAATCATCAGATTTTTAACGGAGATATAGACATTTACGTACCAATTCAATTCAAACTATTAAATTTGGAACTTAGACTTCTATGGTATCCACGCAGATCAAGTTTGTGACAAAATTTCCAACACGGAAATCACATTGTCAGTTCAAAGTCAGTTCAATATGTTTTTGGAAAATTTTTTGATTCCAAACTACTTGAACCAATACAATTTCCTTCCTTGTAAATTCATGTGTATAAAAAAAACTATATGTACTTTTTTATACCCGGTACTTTAAGAGTAAAATATACAAGAGTATTTGATAGTCGTGTGAATATATGTCAACAGCTTAGTCGATATAGCGATGTCCGTCTGTTCGTCCGTCCGTCCTTCTGCCCGTATGAACGGTGTACTATAAGAGAAAGAGCTTGTATATATAGATATCGTCCTATCATGGAATACTGTTCGTGCGTTTCGAATACTTTGTTCATCAAAGGAGTATTGAATCTATCTTAAAGCAGTTTCTGTTATTTGCATTAAAAAATTTTAACTAAGATTGCCGTTCCCGGCTAAAACTATTAAGCCTACCTCCACTGCAAGACCGCCGTACTTGTGCTGTGGTAATGGTACTTCATATGCTGGACAGGTTGACTCAAAATTACCTCTGGAAGAAGTAATTTTTTCAGTGCCTAATAGGGTAACTAGGTCCTTCCAACCACTTTGGTTACCAATTTGTAGAACCCTTTCAATCCGAACAAGATCCGTTTCGTGTTATTTGTAAAAATCAAAAGTCATTTTTCCACAGATTATCCCCTGAACTATCCCAAGATTTAATTAAATTCAAAATGATGGAATCTCTTTTAGATTAATTGATCTTATTTATAATTCTAATAATCTTAAATAACAGATCATTGTTAATAACAATAATAATAATAAAAATAATAATAATAATAATAATAATAATAATAATAATAATAATAATAATAATAATAATAATAATAATAATAATAATAATAATAATAATAATAATAATAATAATAATAATAATACTAATAATAATAATAATAATAATAATAATAATAATAATAATAATAAAAATAATAATAATAATAATAATAATAATAATAAACGTGTGTCTGCCTTTTTTTACGCAAACTAGTCTCTGAGTTTTAAAGCGTTTAATACATATTCTCACAAAGATCGGCCAACTATATCCGATTATTGCGATATATATCCGGTTTTAACTGCAAGGGTATATCTACTTCGGCTTCCTCCGAAGATAGCTTTCCTTTTTTTGTTTTTTTATTTTTCCTAGTTTTATAAATTGGTTTTATTATGATATTCTTATAAGGATCGGCCAACTATAACCGATATTTTCGATATACATATATACAATTTTAACTGCAAGGGTATATCAACTTCGGCTCCGCCTGCTTTCTTTTCTTGTTATTACATAATACTTTTGATATCAGTTTTTTTTGTCAAAATAGTCATTGTAATGTGGAATTATTAATAACATTCACAATGTTATTATTATTAACCTTTGTATAAAATACATACTTATGTACTTGTAGATTTATTGCCTTTTATTTTTTTGCCACTATTTAGGTATGTATGTATGTACATTTTTGTATGCACATTTTTGTTATCAAGCAATTTACATATATGTATAATTTTTGGGTGTGGCTTAAAGTTACAGGTCGCGAAAAAAGGTCCCTAAACAATTTAATCAATTTCGCAGTTTATTTGCTTATTAAATCATAAACGGGGCACAGTCGAAGATCGTCGGGTCTTTCCCAACCATGCGCTGCTGGTTAGGAGAGTACATACTTTGGCAAAGAAGAGTGCGGCAAGGGATGGCAATGGAGAATCAACAACCCCTTGGCTGGCTGAACAGAGACGAGAGCGATGTGCAGTCATATTTTTCACCCTGGGTGTAGCTGAGCCGAATTATGTTCAAGTTCCAACCCATACATATGTATATGTAGGTACTGGCGCTCTCAGTGACATTTCCCTCTCGTCACCAACCAAGTCCGCTGCGATTCTTTTCTAAACTTGGTCGACTCGTAATCTGTTTTTTTTCTTGCTGATAGTCATTTTTGAATTGCGCCTATTAATTTCTCGCTCTTTCGCTGGTCTGCCATCATAAACCGCACATTTGTTGGCCGACATCTGCAGCTTCTCTTTTCTAGACTCAAACATATGTATGTATGTACATATGTACATACAGAAATATTTTACTGAAGCGTTCTTTAATAATATATATGTAACTACATATACGGCTATAGCGGCGATTGTGGCTCAAGCTCTGTTCGGACCAGCCTGGCCCGTTGCGTTCGGTTCTGCGTTGTCTGTTATCAGCTCAAAATAATATAAATTTAAATATATACACACCACATAGCATGTGTGTGTGCGCTGCCATGAGTCGGGGCCATCGAATGCTTGCTTTCCATGTGGGTACAGTCAATTGAAAGGAAATGGCCTTATTTCGTATAAATATGTACATAAAGAACTACACTCTCACGCTCAGTGAGCTCGAGTACGGCTCCATATGAGCCAGACCAATGGTCGGGGGTAGACTCTCGACTCAGACCGTTTGCGGGTCTGGCCAGGTCATTCCTTTGTTCGGATCGTATTTTTCCACACAATCATTTCGAAATTCGCCTCTGGAGATGCTCCTCAGCTAGACAGTCTCGAAAATTTTAGGTTTTTCGCGAGGCAGATGGTCTTTGCAGATGGATATTCATGACTTGCTCTTGAAACTGAATAGTAAGAGAGGCGAATTGAGGCAAACACAATGTATTAATTTCCCGACCCTAAATTTATAACCGTAATCATTTTACAGCATCTGAGCAAGGACATATATTTAGACCTAAAGCTTATGTTCTGTTTTATCATTACTCTTATTTTATTAAAATGAGTATAACTCCTTTCTGATCCTGATTGATTAGCCTGATTATAATCCGTATTTTTTCCGACCCTATAAATTATAAATATTTTGGATCACGTCCTGAACCGATATTAGCATGTCCGTCTGTCTGTTTCTACGAGAACTATTCCCTCCATTGTAGAGCTATCGTCTTCAAACTTATTTACTTTAAACTGCAGTGGAATATTACCTTCGGCTCCGCCCGAGGGTAGCTTTTATTTTTTTTTAATATCTTACAATGTGTAACATTCTTTTCGATTGTTTGATTTCAATTTACCCAGTTGGTCGGAAGTTGGTCGGCTTGATAGTCAGAGATTCCTTTTTTATGGCGTTAAAAAATATACAAAATAAGGTTTTCCGATTGTTTTTTTTTTGTCTTATATTTTAAATAAAATTATAATATATAACTATCCCACACAGAAAGTAAAAAAAAGGAGTAAAATAAATACTAAATAAGTGTAACCCCATTTATATATATGTATATATATATATGTAAATATAATCATATTCTAAAAAAGAGGATCGCAAAAATTCACAAGCATGAGTCAGTCAAACAGATTATTCATAGCTCCAGTTCTTCGTGACTTCGTATCTTACAAAAAGAAAATCATAACTTGGCAAAATCTCATTATCGAGGAAAGCTATGTACTTTGACCTATGACGCTACCGATAAATAAATTATAAAGGTTATGTGTGATTTCAGTAACGAGAACGAGTTTTATTTTTTATATTATGGTATATGGTATAGGAGGGGGGGTATCTAATTATGATAAGAAAAACCTTTCCTGATGAAACTCTATACTGCTAATACCGTAACAGTCTTTTCCAGCAGTATTAATTTGTTTCTTTTTTCGTAAACTTTCTCAATATATATTTTTTCTACTAAACAATAAAGAATTATAATTAAAAATAAAGTCAAACATATTTATTTTATCATATTTAAAGATATTGTGCATTTTTTTTGTAATTGTACATATGATTTAATTTTGCCAATAAAACACGGATTGCAAGCGGACAACAAAAATTATTTTCATGATAATTATACTCACTTTCTTTCCCGAATCACGTCTCTTAGAAAGTCCATGGCCTCATAAAGACTCCATTTTGGCTTAAATCCGTTTCCCATCAGCTTGACGTGGGCAAGTTCCCGGCGATAGGACTCTCGTAAAGATTTGAAGGCGCGAGCCACTCGTCTCCCCGGTGCGTTGAACTCTCGCCCAATGTGTTCCCAGGCTCGGTTCTTTTCTTTCTCGGCGCCCTTGAAGTTCGGGAGACGAGAGTCCCATAGAATGGGATTATCGTGGACCATCTGGATGAGTTTCAGTTTATCGGATGCATTGCGTCGCACCACTGTCAGAAGACGCACATAAAAGGGGATGAAAGTTAAAAATTAGCAGTTGGGCGTAGGCCCTTGATCGGTTTTACGCACATTTTTTAATCTTTTGTGATGGCTCTGTGGCGGTGGAGGACGCTCCCAAAGGCTCCCCTTTGGGTTTCATGTCCAGGGCAATGGCCGCGGCAGCGGCTGTCATATCTTGAAGAGAGTGGGTGGCTGTAGAGGATCCCGTCACTGCGGCACTCACGGGGGCCATCAGGATATGTTGGAGGATTTTCAGATTTAAACTGGCCAGCGTTTCGGTCTTTCTTTACACAGCACTGATTTATTTTACCGATTCTATTTTAATCGCGAACGCGATCGCGCAGGGCTCTAAGGGGCAACTACCCTCTCACGACCAAGTTTAAACAGCAACTGAAAACCAAACCAAAAAAATAACAACCACCGACAAACAGAACGGCTGAGTCGGCTTCGTCGACAAAATTGGCTGAGCGTCTGGCAGCAAGCCCGTATTTTTGAGCCAAAAAATCACGCGCATGAGAACCATTTCTCAGCACTCAGCTCTCTTCTCCTCGGTCTCTCACATTCTCCCCAAACGCGTGTTCCCGTTATCTGCGTCGGCGTCGGCGTTCCAGCCCCAATGAGCCGATAGCAATGAGTCCGGCCCAGACGACGACGCCGATCCAGGCCTAGTTGAAACCATTCTTTTTTTTGCGTCGCTGTGTTGTCCCGCTTACTCCAACGGAAAAGTCTACCCTTTTGTTTCGAGAGTGAAACCACTGAAAGTAAAAGCGAGAAGCAGCCGAGCAATGCAAAAAGCAGCAAAACACACACAAGACAAACTCAAACGACAAGATCAAAACAAGCTAATGTGCGTTAATAAAATCTGTTGTCGAGGTTTTAGTAGGCAAATATCAAACTAAGTGTTTATTTTTTGTACATATTGTACATACATACATACATTTTTTTATTTGTGCACGTTTTATTTTATTGATATTAATTTTTTATTGAACATTAATATGGTTTTATATGGATTTTTATACATTGTTCTTACAAGGCATCTGATGCCCATGATCCATTTAATATAAAAGGGTTAAATGGAATTTGTGCAATTTTTAAAGTCAACCATTGATTTATGTGACATTCCTCCTTAGTCTTGAACATTTTTTAAAATATGATTTATGTACATATATACAGACAAACATGCAGGTATCTCTAAAGTTTTTTACGGATCCTTTTAAATTTGTACTATTAAAGTATTTATGCAAACATACATGTACAAATATACATACATATGTATATATAAGTTGCATAAGTATCAACGTATAAGTCAATGAAATGAAATATTAAAAATGTTAATGAAACCTCCGGATCACCTCCTGAGTTGATATGAGGATGTCCATCTGTCCGTCTACCTCTCTGTTTCTAAGCAAACTAGTCTCAGTTTTAAAGCTATGGACTATCGAATATGACACTTTGCACACACCCTTCTTTCCTTTGCAAGCAGTATATACATTGTACATATGTATGTAAGTTGGAACGGCCGATATCGTCCGATATATCCTATAGCTTCCGATTGATCGGAAATGCTAAAACTATGGTGTTTTTAGAATGCTAAATAAACATTTTATGTACGTACATACATATGTATGTATGTAAATGTATGTAAGTAACTTAGTACTCCCTTGTTTCTTCTAAAATAGGATCATATCTTGATAACCATGTCAGTCTGACTATTTGTTTTCACGAAAAATAGGCTTACAGTTTGAAAACCATCAACTTTAAACTTTGCACACATCCTTAATTTCTTTGCACGTAGTATATACAAATGTATGTATGTACATATGTCAGAACGGCCAAGATACCTGTAGGTCGCCTATATTCTATAGTTACCATGTACCAGAATTATCATATAATTATGATAAATTATATTATAATTTTATAATTATAATTATATTTATATTTATTATATTATAATTTATATAAAATAATATATGTACATATATATTAGATTATAATTTTTCTATTAACAGATATTTACAAATCGAAATTTATCGACGTCTGAATAATGAAAAAAACACATAGAAAATTGGATTTAACGATTTATGTATGTAAATTATATTTTGTTTGGAGCCCTAGAGATTCGTTAACTTTTGACTCAACTCAAGAAGATGCGGAGCTACCAGTTTCGTGCAGCTTATACATACATACATACACAAAAGCGTATACGTCCATGTATGATTTTAAATTTTTGGTAACTGTTTAAAAAAATTGGATAACAGAAACATATGAATGTACCTATGTACATACATACATACATATATTAGGAGCTCTCGTCAAGGAGTGGTCAAGAGTAATATTAATTGATTTTTAAAATTAGTCGCTGTGTTCACTCTTTGGGATTTGCCAATTTCGAAAATATTGTAACACAAATAAATAAGTATGCATATTTTAGTTACACGGAAAATCGCAACTCTCTAAATCTAAAAACCAAAGTTAAGGCATTTCCAAACATGGGTAGCTTTAACACAGATATTAGTTAACGTAGGACAAACACAAAAAGACATGCAGAAGGACATGCCTATATCGATTCACGAGATGATGATGATCCAAAATATGTACATACATATGTGTATACGCTTTGGGGGAGAGGGAATGGCTTTTTCACCGCGTTGCACATTTTTGTCTAAATTATAACATTTTACAAATATTTATGTTTGTATACTATATATGTACAATATATACATATCTTGATATACCCTTGCAGTTAAAACCGGATATATATCGCAAACATCGGATATAGTTGGCCGATCCTTATGAGAATATTATAACAAAACCAATTAATTACAATAAAATATCTAAAAAAAAGTCCCAAGCTTCTATCTTCAAAAATACCAAAGTTGGTATTTCTAGAAAATACCATTTCCGGTCGTTCAGTTATATGGTGGCTATAAGATATAGTCGACTGATCATTATGAAATTTGGTAGGTCGGATTAACTGACCAAAAATATAATCTGCACTAAGTTACAGCTTTCTGTCTTCAAAAACACAAAAGTTGGGTCATTTCCGATCGTTCAGTTATATGGTAGCTATAGGATATAGTCAGCCGATCCTTATGAGATTTGGCATGTCGTATTATTTTGCCAAAAGTAAAAAAATTTGAACTCTCTAACTCAAAAAACACCAAAGTTATACCATTTCCGATTCAGTTATATGGCAGCTATATGATATAGTCGGCCGATTCGGTCCGACTTATATACTGCGTGCAAATGAAAGAAGGTTGTGTGAAAAGTTTCAAGTCGATAGCTTTAAAACTGAGAGACTAGTTTGCTTAGAAACAGACAGACGGACATGCTCATATCACCTCAGGAGGTGATATTGGTCAAGAATACCAATTTATAGCGTTGCACACTTTTGAACAACATTATAATACCCTCTGCAAGGGTATAAAAAGACCGGCATCATTATATAAAGTTTATATATGTATAAAAAAATATGTATTTATGTATATGTATAATAGATATTCATACATGACCACTTCTCCAGGGTATAATATGAAGTCCTTTCATTCCCTTTCAAGTAGAACAATGTACATATGTACATACATGGTACATACTTAGTTAATAGTTTTTTAACCATGAAGTTTTTAATGCTGCTGAATTTAAAGTTATTTTGTTAAAAAAGTAATTGTATATTCCTTTTTTTTTATGAATACCAAGCGTTTTTCAGAACATTTTGAGTTGGATTTTATATTGTTTGATAAAAATAAATTGATCCGAACCACCCAATTATAATGATCTAATGATCGGCCAAATATATCCAATATCCAATTCGATGTATGAATGTACATACATATACATACATATATATATCTGATTCTAACTGCAAGGTTATATTAACTTCGCATCCGCCGGAAGTTCGCTTTCCTTTCTTGTTAGTTTTTTAAAAGTAAAAAAGTTGAACAACTTTGTATATGTATGCATATGTGTATGTACATGTATTTATGTACTAAATAAGCATTTACGAATGTATATTAGTTAAAACGTTGAAATTGTTCGATACCCAAGGTTTTTTTTTTATAAAATACATATGCAACATCGGCCGAATAAGGAATTTTAAAATAAATGTCTATAAAAGTACGTTTATAGATAAGTATACTTACATACATATGTAAATTGTACATACATACATACATATTTATATCTTGATGCATAAGGGTACATATATACATACATACATATGTTTGTATGTAACAACTAAGCCTCGAGCAGTATGCTCTCTTCGCCTTACACAACTGCTGCAAATTTTTTATTTCCCACTTTGGCCGAGAACAGCACAAACATACATTTGTTTATATGTGTGTATTTCTATAGATATATGTATATATATACATATGTAGAGAAAATACGTATCGTAGCGATGGGAGTCTTCGCTCTGCAATAGTGTGGTTGCAGCGGATTTGAGCCCGCTTAAGAAATGCACGATAAATTCGTTTGTTCCGTTCGTTCGTTTTCTCATCGCCTTCTTCTGCCCGTGTGTATTTGAGTTGAGCGGGCTTCGTCTCTTTGCGTTTTACGGAGGCGAAGTTTTGTCCGTTATCGTATTTTTCCATTTGATGAAATTTACAAAAGGGCATTTGGATCACACATGTTGATCTTGGATGGAGCGAAAGGGACAGCAATAAAAATGTAAACTCTGAGGAGCGTGCGTACGGTTAAAAGAGGAGATAAGAGCGCTCCCTATTTTTGTCGCCCCGGGCGTTCCGGCATTTAAGCCGCTGAAATCCAGAGCTGCAACCGGCTATTCACGAGACAAATGGCGAAAAGAGAGGAATACGAAAATGCTTTGTCTGTTTGTAATTTATGCCTAATGAACTATTTCCGGCCAAGTGTCAATTAATGTATTCTGAATTTGGTTTGGAAGCGGTCGAGGCTTTACAACGTGCCCGCACATGCATACATTTTGTGATAAAAATTCTGTGACAAAGTCCACTATACCCGTTGCCCTCTTGCTGCTTTGCATTGCCTAGCCCGCAATCTTGACTAATCTGAATATGTACATACATATGTATGTAATACATATGTATGTATATTAAGGCCTTAAACTTAGCCTGAACAATATAATTTGTAATTAAGGCGAGCCAATATAGTTATGTCTGTATGTTGGTATGTACATACATACCTTTCTGTGGATTATTCCTAAATAACTGAGAAACGTGACACAGGAAATCTAAATTTCTTAAATAAAAAACAAGAAAGCAAAGCTAACTTCGGGCGGAGCCGAAGTTGATATATGTATGTATGTACCCTTGCAGCTAAAACCGGATATATATCGCAAACATCGGATATAGTCGGCCGATCCTTATGAAATTTGGCATGTCATATTATTTTGCCAATATATCAAATTTGAACTCTCTAACTCTAAAAAAACCAAAGTTATACCATTTCCGATCAATCAGTTATATGGCAGCTATAGGATATAGTCGGCCGATCCCGGCCGTTCCGACTTATATACTGCGTGCAAAGGAAAGAAGGGTGTGTGCAAAGTTTCAAGTCGATAGCTTTAAAACTGAGAGACTAGTTTGCGTAGAAACAGACAGACGGAAAGACGGACATGCTCATATCAACTCAGGAGGTGATCCTGATCAAG